ACAGTGGCATCTAGAAAGAGATAGTTGGAGACAACACAAGAGAGGCAATGAGCGCCGTTCTTTGCAACAAACCTGAAAAACTTTCTGACTTCATGGTTCTCATGCTGACAACACAATGAAGTCAGGCATAGTCAGTGCTGTAGCGTAAGCCTGTAGCGCCAGCTGTTTGGGAGGTTAAGTCAAGAGAATCACTTAAGCTCAGGAGATCAATGCCAACCTAGACAACATAGAGATCCTGCCTCAAAATACAAACACATAAAACCTGATAGCTAAAGGTCTATGGCAGATCAAGTGAATCAGAATCACAAGAGATGTAGCTTGAGTACGAGTGGTTTTAAAAGGGGTTCTAAATGTGTTAGAGGCACAGAAAAAATTGAGAACTACAAATTTAAACTATATATGAGTTACTTTCAAAGAAATAAAAAGCAATATTTAAATACACATCAAATACACTACTGTACTTAAATGAAGAAACATTTAAGAAACACAAAAATGGTCATAAAACATCCATGTATGTAAGACAGATGTAGCAAACTAGGTGCTCAAGAAATACTACATCAGGGGCTGGGGATTTAGCTCAGCGGCATAAGTACCTGCCTTGCAAGCAGGCGGTCGTGAGTTCGATCCCTGGTACCGATAAAAAGTTAAAAAAAAAAAAAAAAAAAAAAAAAAAAAAGAAATACTACATCAAAAAAAAAAAAAAAAAAAGAAAGAAAGAAAGAAAAAGAAAAGAAATACTACATCAAGACAGATGGGAGCCTGAGCTGGCAGCCAGAGAGTGAAGTCCCTCAGGCTGGGGAGACTGGTAATGAGGTCAATACCACCAAGTAAAGCTGTGGACAAAAATTTAAAAAAAGAAAAAGAAAAAAGGAATAATACATTAAGCCAGGTACAGTACTGAATGCCAGTAATCCCAGTATGATGGAAGGGTGAGGAAGGAGGATCGAAATTTGAGTTTGGGTCTACCCTGGGCAAATTAGTGATTCATGAGATCCTATCTCAAAATTTAGAAACAAAACAAACAAACAAAAAGGCTGGGCATGTCGGCATGCAATGTGAAAGCCTTGGGTTTTAACACACAGACACATGTGTGTGCACACACACACATACACACACAGATATGGCAGTTATCTAATTTTCCTTTTTTATCACAAACTTTCAAAATGGTAGTTTTTCACATGCATTTGTGGGAAAAGTTGGGAGGAGGAAACACATGTTATCACAGAGAACTTTAGTTGTGAACTGGATACATTAAGTCAAAATAGTTTTTAGAAAGACCAAATTGATCTGTGCCATGGTAGGATCCGCCTACTGCACAAGGGCTCCCTACTCTAAGTAATTTAACTCTTCAGAGGAGTGACACTGCATGGTCCACCAAAGTAAACAACACAAATGACCCTTCCTATCACCCCACACTTATCCTGGCAACAGAACAATGAGATCTGTAATCAAATCATGATGTATAACTGCATAAGTAAATTTCCAATTTCACATAATTGTATTTTTAAAAATCATCATCCAATATTCATTCTCTGTTCAAATAGTGCTCTAGACCTAACACATACAATGAATGACATTCTTCAGAATACAAAAAGGACCATATAGTAATGTACAAGTTGAGAAAAGTACTATAAAAGCATAAGGACACATTACATATTACACGTGACCCAGAACATCAACATATTCTGTTAAATCATTAAACTCTTAACAAGGGGACTTTTTCATTGACAAAGCCATTGAATGTTTCTTGTGAATTCTGGAAGATACACATTGCCCACACTCTTCTGTCTTTGTAAGTTTAAGCAGGGTAAACAATAAGCCTTTTCCTTCAACAGCTTCCTGTACTCTCTCCCACCTCTTCCAACGAAAAGGCACTCACAGAGCTGGTGATTTAGCTCAGTGATATAAGCACCTGCCTTGCAAGTGGGCAGTCATGAGTTTGATCCCTAGTATTAAAAAAAAAAAAAATAGACATTCACAGGTTAAGAAAGTACAGGTAAGTCTTCTAAAAATAAAAACCTGTATTATTAAACCTGACAAAATGGGTGGCAGGGAATATAATTAAAAATTTAAGGTGGGTTGGGTGTTCACGGAATTGAATTTAATTAAATTAATGAATTCAAAAATATTTAGAGAAAGGATTTTGCTAAACAGACTGTGAATTCACAGTGATCCTCCTGTATCAGGCGCCTGAATGCTGGAAATACAAGTGTGTGCCACCATGCCTGGCTTAGAGTATAATTTCGAAACATGAAACTAAACATAAAAATAAAGTGGAAAACATATTTTTAGACAACTCTTTTGGCTACCAGACAAGCTACCTATATCCATTGCTCTCCTGAAATAAATTTACTAATGCTTATTTCTCCTTCTAATTGAAAATATGAACAATCATATCAGAAATAGCTTAAAGCAGTAACTTCAAGCACCCAGAACAATTCTGAACATATTTTTCACTAGTGAATACATAATACAACATAATACAAAGGACTCTAAAGATTTTGTTTTCACTTTCTTATAGTAACTATAGTTTGAATTTTATTATCCAACCTTAAAAGTTTTGGCATTTGCTACTGGTATTCCTTTGAGAATCATTCAAAAGCATTGCTTCCTTAGTAAAATATATTTAAAAAAAGAGTATTCAAGTTAGACCCCTGTCACTTATTTTATTCAGTGATATCTTTTCTGTTGGAACATAATTTTAAAAAATTTATGTGTACATGAAATAATATTTTAACTCCCATGCAGGCCAGGTGGATCTGCCACCTTCCATTCTGGGCAACCTGGGGCCACTCTTGGATGGCAAATGACAGATGGGCTAAACCCCCATCATCCCAGGTGGCCACTGCAAGGAAAACGTCTTTAATTTGGAGGGGTTTAAAAGCAACTTGTCTCCTTTGAGGAGGCTTGGAAAGAAAACTTACACTCAGCCTTGTTAGCTGTTTATTAGGAATCTACCTGCTGATATCACACAGGATGAATTCAAGACTGCTAAAGGGCCCGGGATTTAGCTCAGCAGCCTAAGTACCTGCTTGGCAAACGCGAGGAGGTCGTGAGTTCAATCCCTGGTACCAAAAAAAAAAAAAAAAAAAAAAAAAAAAAAAGACTGCTAAAAACAAGGAAAGCCTTAAAAAAAAGGCAAATGATTCAAGTCTATTAAGTTTGGACCTAGAGCTTTGGCCGCAATTGCCAAAGCTGAACTTGAATACATACTCATGAGAAGCACACAGGTTCAACTTTGTTTAGTTACACTTACTGCTGCCCTTTCTGTTCACAATTTTTACCTTACATTTTCAACAAAGAAGGCTGGTGGAAGAAGGCTTTAGGCAGTTTGGTCTGACTGAAAGGCCTGTGGTAATTATGGATGATTGTGAAACATCTATCTACAAGGAAAAGCATTAGTGAATTTGCTTCTAAAGCAGCAGCAAGAAAATCATTTGACAGATGCAAGTAAAGGTATTTTGCTACTGACAACTCCTCAGCCAGTCAATGTGTAATTACTTAAATAAGTGAGGGATGAAGATGGTCTTCCTGAGAAACTTGGCCAGAAGAATCCAGTGAAGCAAAAGGAGAGGAAAACACTACTAAATTTGTTTTGTTCAGCATGGCACACTTGATTTTGAATATTCTCAGCAATGGAAGTTCTTTGATGAGAAACAAAGGGAACAAGTTGAAAAAAAGCACAAAGGATGCAAAAAGATACACTGGAAAGTGAAATGAAAGGATCCTATCATAAGCATCATACATATCTTTTGCAACAAGATTTGATGAAACACCACAAAGAATTAAGATGCATGGGAGAAGTTAACAGTCAAGAAGTGTAAAAGCCAGGCAGGCCGGCACATGCTTGTAATCTCAGCGCTTGGTAGGCTGAGGAAGTAGGATTGCTGGGAGTTTGAGGCCAGCTGGTCTACATAGCTGAAGGCCTGCCTGAATTACAGGGTAAGACCCTGTCTAAGAAGGCAGGGAGAGAAGAACAAAAAAGACAGAAATGTAAAAAAATGCAATAGAAACAATAAGAGAAACAATGTAGAAGGGAGAAAGAGTTGATTTGCCAACATGAGATGGAAGAACAAAGATGTCAAAGAGAAAAAAGTTATAACTGATGACCTATATGGATCTGAGAGAGAACAGACAGACAGAGACAGAAGGAGAGACAGACAGAGAGACAGACAGAGAGAGAACAGGGAAGAATGAGTGGCAGAGGAGCAATGAACATGGGAGACCTGTATCGCTCAGGAGGCCTGAAATTTCCACCTCTAAGTGGAAAACCCTGGTGGCAATGTAGGTTATGAAGCTAATCCTAGACTTGCACCCAACTATGAGTGATTTCATGAAGACACACAACATGATAACAATGACTGATGTTGGCTGATACTGGAATGAACAAGATAGTTTTTCTCAAAGACATCAACCAGACATGAGCAAAGAAGGAAAGCCACATGTTAAACTGACAAAGTGTCTAGGTGAGTTGTATCTAGAAAACCAATAAGATCAAAAAAGGCAACAGACAATTTATTTGTCAGTAATAAAGACATTTAAAAATCTGAAAAGAAAAAAGAAACAGTATGTTAATATGCAAAGACTATCATTGTCTAATGAGGTAGAAGTTATACTTTAAAGTAACTCATTTTATAGGAAAAAATGTTTGAAAACTAGAAAATAAAATTCACCTATATGTTGCTACTTCTATATAAAGAAATTGTTCCAAGTTATGTAACAAAAATAAACCTCCCACCAGAGATCTTGGAAATCTTGAATTTTTTTTCTGCAGGAGGATTTATTATTTTCCACTGAATATCCATTCATGTGCTTTCTTCTCATTTTTATTCGTAGCACCAGATTCTGACTAGCAAGCACAACCTCAAAAGAAAATAAACACTAAATACAAACTGTAGAATTAAATAAAATAAAGCAAATAGAAATGTGCACATTACGATTGGGTACCCCTGAGGTGGTGTCGTGAAGTCCGCATGTACACTGGCTCTAAGGACACTCACCTTGTATGCAACGCTGTTGGAAGAATCCACAATGATAAACAGGGGCTTCCTTGTGAAAGGGTAGAGATCTCCAGGATGAAGGCTGGGGAAACAGCAACAACAACAATGAGGAATTGTGAGACCATGGTGGCCAAAGTGCCAGAAATCTTATTCTTCAGTTTGGTGTGCGCATAGCTTCTTTCCATCATAGCACTGAGAGAAAAACAAAGATTAATTAAACAAGGAACAAGAACATGACTGTACTTGCTGGGAAAGTCGTTTAATTAAAAATAAAACAAAAACAAAAACAAAAAAGGTTCAGAGATAACTGTTATTCAAGAATACAGATGTGAGGGTGCTCTCTGAACATCTGTCACACTGTTGATTGGGCTGACCTCGATGGCTAGGCAGTGTCTCCTTCCTCCCTTCTCTGCTTCATGTGCATCTCTCCCCAAGCAGCATGCTTTATCAAACAGGACAACCAGCCCCAACAGATGAGGACCGTTTCCTCAGTCAGTGATACAAGCAGCTACACTCCCTTGCTCAAACCTCCAAACAAGCACTCAAGAATATATAAGAAAGCTAGGGATTTAGCTCAATGGCACAAGTACTAGTCTGGCAAGTGCAAGGTTCTGAGTTCAATTCCTGATACTAAATAAATAAATAAATAAGATTTAAAAAATAAAGTTAAAAGAAAGAATATATAAGAAGTCTATGTAGTTAAAAATGGCTAAATGTCCAGCAGAAAAAGCTCAGAAGTCAGAATATAGCTACATGCTTCCTATTTAAAAGTTCTATGAATATGTTTTGAAAATTAGATATAGTAACATAACCAGATCTAAATTTCTTTTTTGGTCTTTTTCATTTTTATCGGTACCGGGGATCAAACTCACGACCGCCTGCTTGCAAGGCAGGTGCTTATGCCGCTGAGCTAAACCCCCAGCTCCCAGATCTAAATTTCAATGAGTCATTTTCTAGATCTATATTATTAAACATTTTTAAAATTATTTCAAGCTGTATACTAATATTATAAACAATAAAGAGGAAAACCCCTTCTCTTATCCCTTATATTTCCTCTGGACTTTAGCATCGAAGTAACCTGGACTGTTGCTGAATAGATAAATTCACTGACTCACAAAAGATCTAAAGAACCTAATTTAAATCCAGGACCATACATTTTAGAATGAAAAATACAGCATTTTGGCATGTGTGTACTTTCCCATGACAGTGGATAATGTGTGTACATGCATCAAAAACTTTTTTTTGGAGACAAGGTCTTGAACTTAAAATTGCTATATAGCCCAGACCGGACTCAAACTCACACTTCTGCTTCAGCCTCCTACCCAGCTGTATATTAATATTTATGTACAATAAATATATGAAATGATGTTTTACTGAGCACTATCATGACACTTCAATATATTTTACATTTATTTTTCCTTTTTCTTTTTTCAAAAATTAAATTTTTATTTAAGAAATTTCAGGTGATTTCTGTAATACTTCTCAGGGTCACTCAGTGAGGTTGTTGTCTTCAAGATAGCCCTTTTAAAAGGAATTTGCAGGGCTGGGGATTTAGCTCAGCAGCATAAGCGCCTGCCTTGCAAGCATGCAGTCGTGAGTTCGATCTCTGGTACTGATAAAAACGAAAAAGACAAAAAAAAAAAAGGAATTTGCTGCTTAATCCACTCATTCCATCTGTCCACAATTCTTTTATCTCTAGTAGAATTATGGACAATGACAACTTCAGAACTCCTAGGACCCAATCATCCAAATTTCTGCTGGAAATTTGTATTTTAGGAGTCTAGAATTTGAAGTATACATAGTATTAGTATTTTATCACATGATCTAGATTCTATATTAACCATTCATTTATAACATTGAAAGCCAGTATTTTTCAGTAGTAAGCAAAATGTTATAGGTCTCATTGTAACCACTGTAAACATTTACTGTGATGGAAGCATGACCTGTGACAATTTCAGCCACATTGTATTTTTCCTTTTTCTAATGACAGAAACTAAATATTCTAATGACAGACTAAATATTCAAAGTGTCCCTCATGGCTTGTCACACATGTACACTGGTGCAGTGATCACCACGGGTCAAATTAATAAACACATGTACATGTACATGTGCATGTTTTTGTGTATGTGAGAGCAGTTGCTACGGATAGTATTTAGATGTGCCCCCAAAGCCTCATGAGATGATAGGTGGAGATTTTTGGAGCTGGAGGGATTTAGAGAATGTGATATTTGGGTTAAGGGTCTGTGGAAATATATTAGTTCACTGACTGGCATTAGCATAGTTGTGAGTGTCACCACCCAAAGGCTAGTAGCCTGAATGGTACAAAGGGAAAGGCATGTTGGCTGCTGGCTGCTTTCTGCCTTCCACACCATGAATTTCTTTACTTTGTGATGCCCCTCTGCCATGCTGCCCTGCCCTAGAACCAGGCAACTATGAACTGAAACATACAAACTGTGAGTCAAACTAAACTTCTCCTTCATTATCATGGGTGTTGAGTATTTTGTTTTAGCAAATAAAAAGTCACTGAGATAGTGGTTTTACAAATTTATAGTAAATAATCTATTATTATTATATGTGTGTGTGTGCGTGTGTGTGCGTCTATGTGTGGTGCTGGAACCCAGGACCTTGTGCATGCAAGGTAAGAACCCTACCACTGAGCCACATCCCCAGCCCTAATATTATTTTACTATCATCATTATATAATACTTTACAACTTCAGAATTTACTGATAACTGAAAGATTGCATTCTTTGAGCAAATCTTCCCATTTCCCCAACCCAACAGCTTAAAAACAACCTTTCCATTGTTTCTCTGAATTCAACTTTTAAAAATTCTACATATAAGTGAGATTATGCAGTATTTATCTTTTTGTGGCTAGATTATTTCAGTTAATATCCTATAGGTTCATATATGCCACCAATGACAAGATTTCCTTCATTTTTTAGGCTGAAAACTATCTGATGAGTCAACATGTATATATGTATGTACCACAATGAACATGTAGGTTGTTCCTATACCTTGGTTATTGTGAATACTACTACAATGAAATATAGGGGTGCAGATATCCCTTTGATTTACTTTACTGAGTGACATATTTTCATTTGTTTTGATATATAACCACAAATGAGATTTTTGGATTGTATACAGTTGTATTTTTATTTTTTAAAGGAACTTCCAACTGTCTTCTGCAATGGCTATACCAACTTACATTATTACAAACAGTCTACGAGGGTGCCCTGCTCTCCACATCCTCATCAACACTTGCTATTTCTTGTCTTTTTGATAACAGTCACCCTAATAGGTGACACATAGTATGGTTTTAATTTGCATTTCCCTTATGAATAGTGCTGTTTAGCAACTTTTCGTATACCTGTGATGTATTTCTAACAAATAACTTAAAACTAATGTCTATAATAGCACCAAAAAGTAGCCTAGAGGACTCATAGCTATTATATGCATAATCTGAAATATCTACCTGCCTCGTCTCCCTTATCTGTTCTTCAGTATGAACAGTTGATCTTTTAATATAAACCATTATTAGAAATGGAATTGCAATCAAGTCTATTTATCTGTCAGATTGTACTGTCTTTCAACTAGAAAAATTCTAGAGCCAACAATGGCACAAGCAACAAAATAGAGCAAACTTTCAGAGATGAAATTCTATTTGAAATCATACAACTAAGTTCATTTGTGCTACATAAAGCCAAAGAATCTTACAGAGCAAAGCACATATTGGGCTGAAGAAGCAGTTCAAACACTGGAGCACTTGGCTGACTAGCAGGAGGGTCCAGGTTCGATGCATAGCACCAATAACACCCAAAAAAAGTTCTTATTAATGTTAACATGTATCATGACATAACACATTTATTTATGTATGTATTTATCATCTCCTTCAACTAGAATACAATTTTGTTCACTGTTAACATTCTCAATGGTTGAATAGTGTCTGCCTATAATGGATACTCAGTAAAATGTATTTGGTGAACATCAGCCAGAAATTTAGAGCCTTAATATTGCTGGCATCCAAATAAATATTACTAGTAAAAACCTAAGGGAACTTTTCTAATACTAGGAAAAAGTCTCCACTTAATATTTTAAAAGAAAGCTATAGTTTTTATAATGAGGGAAGGTGGCAGAATACATACCAGTGCATTTCCTTCTGGGATTGATTTCGTTTGTGGATAGCATCTCCATTTATAATATCTCGGTTACTATTAGTAAGTACACCTCCAAAATCATAAGGACCTATAAAAACAAAGGAAGAATCCTAGACTTCAACTGGAGGGTAACTCTGACCTGATGTTCAGATGCAAAAGTACTATGTGAATCTCTTGCTGGTACAGTGAAAGATAATTAGAAGGCATTTTAATTATTTCAAAATTGAAAATTTTAATCTAATGCAGTATTTAAATCATTTCTGTATGCTGTCTGTATCAATTCCTTTTTAAAAATTATTTCAGTAGTTCTTCAAACAATATAATGAGAAACAAAACAAGAATCTACTGCATCCCATTTAGGGATGGATGGAGAGCAAGCATCTTAATGGAACACAGATAACTACTATGTTCAAAATGACTTTCCCATTTCAAGTGAAATTTAAATCTCTGGTTTACCAAAGTATTTTAAAAAGATAATTGAAGACTGAAATCTTAATCTTTTAAAATAAATCTAATTTTAAATGAACATACTAATTATAAAATTTAGGGAGAAATTTGAATGGTAATTGAAAATTCTCATTGACAAAACTTTCTTTTTACAAAAGACATTGCCAAATTTCTCCATGTGAAGAATTCATTATTATTATTATTAGCTGCTGCATTAGTTTTGGTTGTGAAGTTAGCTGTTTCCCACTAATCATGTAAATTAGGCAACTCTTGTCTAACTGGGACAGCACTTTGGCTTGTCTAAATTATTTGTCTTAAAGGATCATTCACTTATCACACTGTACTTTGAAAAAGTAAAATAAGAGGTGAACATGCTAAGTATAGACATAGAAAACCTGATTTAACAATATATAAGACATGGATATAATTATTTGTAAATAACATTATTAGCTTTATTATACACAAGAAAACTATTAAATGTAAAAAACCATATTATATTATTTTAAAGTGTCACTAGAATGACAGAGACTATAAATTTAGTCAGTTTGTCTTTGTTTCCACATTTTAAGAGAATCTGTAGGTCATGCAAGGAAGATGGCAGGGACATGCACTTTATAAAGGAATGCAAATTTCAACAAACAGATGAGTAGGAAAATGTTAAGAAAAAAATCTTCCCCCAAGATTTAATTGCCTTATTTAAATCTAAGTTACTCATCTATTCTGACCAATTTCTCGACTCATACATGTTAATCAATTTTACAATTTTATTCTGAAACAGCATCCCAATATTTGGCAGATTCAATCAATAAAATAAAGAAAAAATGAAAGGACTAAAAACATCATAACAAGGACTTGAACTTTCACAGTTACAAAAGTATACTGATTTCTACAAAGACGTAGTATAATGAAGACTCAGAAAATCTTAGTCATGTAAAAATAATTAGGCTAAACCAGGCACGGTGGCTCATGCCTATAATCCCAGCAATTGGGAGGCTGAGGCTGGAAGATCCCTGCAAGTTTGAGGCCAGCTTGGGCTACAAAGTGAGTTCAAGACCAGTCTGAACTACAGAGTGAGGCCCTGTCTCAAAAAGTCAAAAATAAAACAAAACAATTAATTAGGCTTGGTTATCTATCACCTTTTTCAACTTAAAACATCAAATTTCATGTGATGCTTTTGGGCAAAACTGATAGTGAATCATGCATTTAGTATATGAATTTTCTAGTAGTTTGTGGGCCTTAAAGTATAATATTCCAGGATAGAACACAGACTGGGGTATCGATAAAAATGTCAAATCAATGACAGACTAGCTTTTAAATTTGGAAGCCTCCATAGAAAGCCTGAGATGGTCTTGGAGCAAAGGGCCACGGTCTTGTAGAAACAGAAAATTCAAGCCCTGCTCACAACAGGGAGCATTCCTTTATTGTACCTTCACTATCAGAACGACCTGTGGGGAAAACTCCAGTGGCTGACAGGTAGATCAGAAGCACACTATTGGCAGGCAGCTCCTGAAATTAAGGAAAATCACATATACAAAACGAAAAACAGGAAAAAATGACATAACTATATGTAAAGTCAAGACATTTAAAGTTGTGGGTAAAACAAGAATTTAGCAGGGCTGAGGATTTAGTTCAGTGGCATAAGAGCCTGCCTGCCGAGTATGAGGTCATGAGTTTAATCCCCGGTACAAAAAAACACCAAAAAACCAGGAATTTAACATACTATTATTTTTCTTAGAGAAGAGTCACCCTTGGTGGTTCTGACTTAAAACTATACACATGGCAAAAGTTTCTATTTTTATTTTTTGGGTACTGGGAATCAAACTCACAACCTTGCGCTTACGAGGCAGGAACTTACGCTGCTGAACTATATCCCTGGCCCTCAAAAGTTTCTTATTAATTTGTAATGTACAAGGGTTTCCAAAAGCTGTAAAGACATTTTCTGCTTTCAATCTGCAACATTTAGAGAATGCTCTGTGCAAACTTGAAATGGAGAAGAGTAAAATATCCAGATTATACATTTAAAAAACAAGCTCTCCCTCAGCTTTAGGGAGAAGGTTCTTATTTTTCATTGTTCTTTGAGATTATCTAAATGTTTTGCCAGGAATGGTGTTGCAAGCCTGTAATCTCAGCAATTGGAAGGCTGAGGCAGGAGGACTGCCATGAGTTCAAGGCCAGCCTGGGCCACATGTACCAAGTTTCACGTCATCCTGCAGTACAAAGCAAGATCCTGTCTCAAAATAAATAAATAAATTTTAAAAAGCTTCACGGGACTGCCTGAATGTATGACATGCTATACATTCTGCTCTTGTTTTTGAGTTTTGTAATGTTACACCTAAAGTAATTTAGTAATAAAAGCCTGGAATAAGGAGAATGATAATTAAACAATATTCTCCATTAGTCACGGTAGGAATTATTCACAACATCAAAAGCAATTTTTATTTCTAAAAATTGCTGTGTTTGGGTTGTTATTCTAAAGACATGCTTTCATTTTGTATTTTACTCAAATTCAATTCAAATATTTAGAGAAGAATGACTTAGATTCAACTTACAGCACACTTCCCCTTTGTAATAAGAAGTACTGGATCACTCTTACCTTAAAAGATGCTGCTAAGAATGTGTAGAGTTGGCTAAAGGTTGGTTTGTAGAGCAGATATTTATGGGGGTTTTCTCGTCTGGCAGGCTTGTCAGCAGATTCCTACATTTACACATAGAAAACAGCACACATACAAGCTATGTTTGACAAATGAATGATTAATGCCTACTTTCTCTTCCCTATCACGTATTCTTTTTTCACCAGCGTTACTGTGATTATGTTTATTGATTTTTGTGTTCAGTCAGGACAGTTCTTGTCCATATTTCTCCCAGCATTTGTTGAACAGCAGGCTGTACCCCGTGAGAAGCAGAAGCAGCAAGAATTTCACCTGCATTCCTGGCTTGTTCATCTGAGAGGCTAAGTTCATTGGTTCTCTTTCCAGGGCTTGTAACATCCGAAACATGTCAACAGTTAGTTCACTGAATTTAACCTGCAAGGAAGACAAACCGAGCCATCAATGCAGAACACAGACTTGGAGATCTTAAATCATACCATTACTCTTGACTTCCATGTATACTTAATGACAGTTGCTATCCTACTCTCCAACAGTGCATTATAAAAAGTAAAAAAATACTACAAAGGGTGAAAGAACTGTGTGGTGATGTTCATATATCTCTAGATTCCATAATTAATATTTTTCAAGCTTTATCACATCTCTCCATCCATACTTACACTCATCTGTCGATTTCCTCATTGATACTACAAAATATGTAAGACTGTAGCATTTTCTTTCTTTACCCAACCCTCTTTCAGGACTTAGGGACTACACTCAGGGCCTTTTCACTGAACTGCATATACAATTCTCTCTTATTCATTCATTCTCATATTCTCTCTTTCTCTCTCTCCTCCTCCCACCCCTCTCAGACAATGTCTTGCTATGTATTTCAGGCTGGCCTTAAACTCACTATGTAGCTCAGGCTCATCTTGAATTCATGGCAATCCTTACATCTCAGTCTCCTGAGCTGGGATTACAGGCATGCAACACCATGCTTGGCTCTTTTTTAATTTTTCTGTTTTGAAATAAGGTCTCAGTAAGTTGCCAAGAGTAGACTTCAATTTCCAGTATGTCTGCTTCAGGCTCTCAAACTGTTTCAATTACAGGTGTGCGCTATACCTGGCTAAGACTACAATCTTTTTCCATATTCAATGACATTTATATGGAAACTCAGGTACACATATAAGGATAAAACAAAGAAACTAGGTGTTTCAGTGCATGCCTATAATCCTAGAATTCTGGGTGGTTAAAATACGAAGACTGCAAACTTTCGGCTCAGCCTAGGCAATGTAGCAATTTTGAGAGACTTTGTTTTTACTTTTTATTTTTTGGTACAGAGAATTGAACTCAGGACCTCTCATCTGGCAGGCAGACATTATGCCACTGAACTACATCCTGGCCACAGAGATCTTGTTTAAAAAAAATAAACAAAAAGGAATGGGAGAGTACTCCAGTGCAAAGACCTTGGGTTCAAACCCTAGTAATGGGGGGGGGGGGAGGAGAGTGTTTTAAAGTACCTGTTTCTAAACTAGGGGGTGGGGGTGGCACATGCCTATAATACCAGCACTCGGGAGGCTAACTCAGGAGGATTGCTACAATTTTGAGGTTAGCCTGGGCTACACAGTGAGCTTATGGTCAGTCTTGACAATATAAGACCTTAAAAGTACCTGTTTCTGTAAAATAAGAGATTACACCCCCATGTGGGTGGGAAACTGAGCCCCACCTCAGGCCTTTTTACTTTTCTTTATAAGACAGGCTCACTAAGAAAGTCAGGTGAGGCTTGAACTTTTTTTTTTTTTTTTTTGGCGATACTGGGGACTGAACTCACGACTTCGCACTTACTAGGCTGGCGCTTAGGCCATTAAGCTAAATCCCCAGCACGAGGCTTGAACTTATGATTCCCCTATTGCACTCTCTCTCATGGCTGAGATTGCAGGTGTGCATCACAATACTTAGGCAAGAGGTATTCTTTCCTAAAGGCAAAAATCTGTTTTATAAAGATTGTTCAATAGAGTTTCAAACATTTAACTTTTGTTTTGTTTTTGTGGTGCTGGTGATTGAACTCATGGCTTTGCACATGCTAGGCAAGTGCTGTATCACTGAGTTAGTTACTTGTCCACCCCATCATCAGTTCATACCTCTTTAAGAGGATGACACAAAAATTTTACTTCTTCTCAATCAAAATTTCACCAAATGAAGATACAAAGATGGGACTTTCTGACCCTTCTGTTCAGTGTTTCAACACAGCATTAATTGAATTTTCTGAAGTGTGATAAAACTGTCCTAAAAGAGCCACACATTTACCTTCCCATTATCTCTACACAAGAGAGCAAAGATGACTGCTAGGCCCAGGCAAAAAGGCAATGGTCTAGCTCTTCTTTCTTTCTGTCTAACGTGTTTGTGTGGACATAAACACATGGTCCTAATCAAAACTAATAGCAAAAGTAGCATTCTGAGGCCCAGAATCCACACAGAGCAGAATTATGTACCCCATCTTGGTAATCACCACCCTCAAAACACATTATTTTCGTGCCAAAAATACCTCATACTTCTAGTTCAAGGGCATGCTCCTAATTTGGTTTCTCCTGTCAGGAATCCTGTGGATGTCTCTATTCCCTGTGCCTCAGTGTTGACTTGGCTTCCTTCAACATTTAGTTCTTCTCTTCCTAGCCCTTTAATTCTCCTTGTCTACATTCTCTTCTGCACTCGTTTGTTACATATCCCACTGTGTGGAACAAGGCTCACCAGAATGGTGATCTGTAGCACACACACAAACTACAAACCAAAAGTCATCTCTGAAATTTACTCCCTTCCTTTCATGTCCAGACAGATACCAAATGCTACTTGTTGTATCTTACTAAAGCCAACCTCATTGCTCCACTATCACCACCACCTAGTATTTTAACCACAAACACAAAGATTACTGAAACAATTTCCTAAGTGCTCTACCACCCCCATTTGGTTCCAATCCATTCTGTACAACTATAACCAAAATCTCATAATGCAGGTGTCACCATTTTCCTCCCTTCAAGTGGATCCTTTTCTGACTTTCCAGTGCACTCAGGATACCAACGAGTTGCTGAGTGTATCATATCAGACCCTCTCAGTCCAGCTCTGCCTGTTTCCTGCTCCTGCGCTTCCCTTAATCTCTCAGTTTCAGCCAGTATGTGCTCAGTGCCCCTGAGCACTGCCCTGGACTCAGCACTCCCCTGTTGCCTTTAGGCCACAAAACAAGCTCTTCCTGCTTCGGGCACACTCTTGACATTAATTTCTACTTACTCTTAGTTGTTAGCTCAAGCATTGTTCTTAGGAAAATATTCAAAGATGTCCCACACTAGCTCAAACTCTTTGATGACACATACTTCTCCCTTTATCATGTTTACTAAAGTGGATGTTTGGTTAATGTTTGTTTTCATGATCCAATGGTAAGCTCCCATAGAGAAGACACTTTTCTGTAGTTAATCGTTCTCATCCCCAAAGCCTCAGGCAAGACTTGCATGAAATAAATACTGACAGAATGAATCATTTGTTGACCTCAGTCTCTCACTGTAAGTCACTAAAATAGTAGTATTATCAAGTCATATTTTCATGTAAAGAAACAAAATACCCATCTCTTCAACAAAGGACAAAAACAAGGCTTCTGCTTCTAGTAATGGAAAGGTTAGCTATACTGCAATGCTTCCTTTAAAAATGCAGAGGGGAAACTGCCAGAGAAAGGGATTTTCTGAGAAGAGGATATAAGAAGTTTAGGGAGGGAAGTGGGCAATGCCTCCAGTTCTCTTTCAGTAAGGAGAGCATGGGGTCCTGGGAAGAACTGACTGGGGAGGCCTCCTTCCCTACACCCCTATTCCCCATAAAGCTAGAAGCACAAAAATCTACGGCTGTAGGAAAAGCCCACTACAAATGAATTGCTGCAGAGAGAGACAAGAAGGAAAAATTTGACCTTGGCCTTGGTTCACTAGAGACAGAAAAAAAGTCCCTCTAAGAATTCCCAGTCATGGGGTGGCTTTCTTGTGGTTTGTGAACCTGAATTTATACTATCTGCAAAGTTCAAATAACTGTACAGTTTTTATTTAAAAAGATCAAAAACTGATGATCCACCAAGTTTTTTGACTGTAAGTAAATGCGGATTCTTAATGGAAGAACTTCAATTCAGGTTTCAAGAAAGTATAAGTGATAGAATCACAACAAAGAAAAACTCATGGGTTGGGAATATGTGGCACAGTGGCACAGTTGCCTCCCTGACAAGCACAAGGTCCTGAGTATGAGTCTCAGTACCAAAAAAAAAAAAAAAAAAAAAAAAAAAAAAAAGAAAAGCTCATAATAAAAAATCATAAAACACGTTTTTAAAAAAGGCACCTGTGATTTAGTTAGCAGAAACAATAAGCAATTCATGTAATTCCAGCACTTGGGAAGCTGAGTCAGGAGGACTGGTATATACAGTGAATTTAAAGCCTGTCTGAACTACATAATGAGACTGTCTCAAAAAAAGTAAAAAAATGTTTCAAATGCTTAAAAAAAAGAAACAAGTAGAATCATGATATGAAGACTATCAAAGGAATATGTGGGAAATAATTAAATACTTTAAAAATGAAAAAACATAACAAATGCAACTAAAAGCCAAAGGAATGAACCAGTAACCTAGCTTAGAGTAAGCAGGGGGCGAATCACAAAAGTATCAGAAAGAAAGCAGGACCATCTGCAGGTGACTTGTCTCTGAAGTAGCTACTTTAAAAGGCAACACTCTCAGCTTTGTGTGGGAAGAGGGCACCATCAGGGAAACAGAAACCAGTGGTAGTCTTCAGGGTCAGACTGACATAAAAAGGCCTTAAGCACCAGTTGGTTTCTCCCAGACATATTTGTAGGAGTCTTAAATGTGCACAGTGCAGGAGACTCAAGAGGTAAGTCTGACACCATTTAAAGAGAAAATGGACTGATTTCCTGTCTTGTGGGGGCTGAGAAACCAAGATTAAGGTACCTAACTTGTAAGAGGACACATCTTTAAGAACATGCTATATGACTAAAGGTTCTGGAAAACCAGGGTCTAATGACAGGCTGCACAAGAGACAGACTGATCTTTACCAGAACAGTTACTATGCTAAATTCAGACCTGGACTGATCTGAAAAAAAGAAACCTTCCTTAAATTATGTGTCTTGTGGTTTACATCTAAAATGTCCCCAAAATCTCATGTGTTTGGAAGGTGCTATACTTGTCATTGGATTTGTCTGGTGGTGAGTTCTTAGCTGACTTGCTGTTGGGAGGGAGGGTCTGGTTAGAGGTAGGTCAGTGGGGACATGAATTAGGAAGGTGTATCTATCTCCCTGGCTCCTCTCTTCTCTCTCTGCTTCCTGGAAACCATGAGGTGTAGCTTTCCTCTGCCATGCTGTTCTGCCAGGCTACTTTTGCCTTAGAGCCTCCAAACCATAGACTGAGCCCATGGAAACTGTAAGCCAGAATAAACAAAATTCTCCTTAGAGTTGCGGATATGGGATATGTTGCCTTAGCAATGACAAAGTAACTGAGACATAAGGGATTGAATACAGGGTTTTGTACATCATCCTGAAATCTGTAATTCTTATGCACGTTGCCAGGGAAGCAAACAATGAATCAAGACAATATGAATGAGTTTTGAAAGTGAGAAAAAAAACACTAAAACAAAGCTGTAAGAATCAATATAGAGTAGTTCGCAGAGAAGGATTTTTTAAGTAGCTGAAAAATATAACGAACAAAATGGAAAAAGATGGTAGAAATCAAATTTTTAAAATGGAGAACTTAAGAGAATTAGCTTTCCTGTTGCTGGACAAAATATCTGAAAGTTTCAAATTAAAGGTTTATTTGGTTTGTAGTTTTGGTTCATGGTTGACTGGCTCTAGGAAGAAAACTCAGAACAAAAGGGTGTGGGAGAGTAAAGCTGCTTTGTTTGGAAAGCAGAGTGGCTAGAAAGCAGAACAATTCAGGAAAGGAAGGGGCCTGGGACGATACAGTAGCCAACCTCACTCATAAGTGTACTTTACTAACATCTAAGCAATTTTCAAGAAAAATTAAAATGCATAAAAGGGAATCAAATGGAAAAACATGGAACTATTAAGACAATATGTAAAATTTGAAACATTAAAAAATGTAACTGCAGACTAGATATACAAGAGGGCAAGATTAGTGAAATGGTAAGAAATTAATGGAAACAAATTCTAACAATTCTAGAAAGAAAAAATAAGGACCTGACAAAAACAGTGTAACAGATGTAAGTGACACTGTGAAAAATTCTGCAGACATGTAAATGAGGTTTCGAAAGTAGAAAAAAGAGGGCCAGGGATATAGCTCAGTGGCACAGTTCCTAACTGGAAAGGGCAAGGTACTAAGTTCAAGCCCTAGTACCAAAACAAAACAAAAAAGTAGAGAAAAGAATGAAAGGAAAAACAGGATTTAGAGTTGCAATAATTATATATATATATATGTGTGTGTGTGTGTGTGTGTGTGTGTGTGTGTGTGTATTTTTTTTTTTTTTTTTTGGTCTTTTTCCTTTTTATTGGTACCGGGGATTGAACTCACGACTGCCTGTTTGTAAGGCAGGCGCTTATGCTGCTGAGCTAAATCCCTAGCCCCAATAATAATATTTCAAAGTAGATGAAAGACATCAACTTACAGATTCAATAAACTCTGAACCTGCTTGTTTTGTTTTATTTTATTTTGATGAGACAAGGTCTTGCTTTGTAGTACAGGCTGGTCTTGAACTCACTATGTAACCTAGGCTGGCCTTGAATTCATGGGGATCCTCCTGCTGCAGCCTCCTCAAGTGCTAGGATTATAGGTGTGCACTACCACACCCAGCTGAAATTTTGCGAACTTTGATCAAGAAAAATAAGTAAAAATACACTTGAACAGAGCATGGAGGTACTTAACAATCACATGGATCAAAGGAACAGAATCAGATGCTAACGTGTACGGACACAAATTTATGATAAAAGTGACAATACAGGGTGGTAGAAAAAAACCTTTTTTTTTTTTTGGGTACCGGGGATCAAACTCACAACTGCACGCTTGCAAGGCAAGTGCTTATGCCACTGAGCAAATCGCCAGCCCAGAAAAAAATCTATTTAGTAAGTAGTACTAGGTCTATTGAAATTCACATGGAAAAAAAATTTTTTTTTTTGTACTGGGGATCAAACTCACAACCTCATGCTTGGCAGGCAGGCCCTTATGCTACTGAGATAAATCCTAGGCCTTCACATGGAAATTTTGACCTATTCTTCACACCAAACAAAACAAAAATACAGACAGATTACAAATGTAAATATGAAAAGTAAAGTAATAAAGGCTGCGAGGATGACTATTTTCATGATCATGCAGTAAGCAAAAGTTTTTCAAAACAGGACATAAAAAAGCTCTTACATAAAAGGAAAAAAAATTTGCCACGTGTGGTGGATGCATACCTACAAACCTAGCATTCAGGATGATGAGGCAGGAGGATCACTATTGAGGCCAACCAGGGGTACATAAGGTTCAAGCCTAGCTTGAGATGGAAAACTTTATAAATTGTACTACATTAAAATTGAAGATTTCTGTTTACTAGAATTTCAATATCTGGAATAGGGGCTCTCACACAGTAGACACTAAATTAACATTAATTAACATATGAAAAAGAGACTACAAAAGGAGCCAAACAGTATGAGATACTTCAACATACAAATCTGATAAAGGACCTTTATGCAGACTGTATCAGAAATTCTTAGAAATCAATAAAAAACTACTAGAACTACTCAGTCAAAAGGTGTGTATACATTCATCTGTGCAAAGGTAATGTCTAATACTTTTCTAAATTGAATGCACTGATTCATAAATCTTTCAACAAGGCATAAGATATGCACCTTCTGTACAAGCCTGACAGAGTACGTTATCTTATTAAATTATCTTGTTTCACTTTTAGCCCGTTAGGTGGCTGATTATCTCATTTAGTTTAAATTTATATATTATGATTAGTCCTGTGAAGATAAAAAAGTGGAAAAAAATGACCCGTTAGAAAAATAAGTAAACAAACCATAATGTTTTAAAATCTATCCACTTAGTTTATATATATAATTTTGAAATGCTTTAATTTAGAAATTGGGAAATTAATGGCTATAAGAGTGAAAAAAAAAACAGGACTACTATAAAATTTTAATAACAAAAATGACAGATAGCCAGGTGTGGTGGCACACCTCTGGAATCCCAGCACTTGGGAAGTTGAAGTAGGTGGATTGTTACAAATTTGAGACCAGCTTAGGCTACAAAAGTGAGCCAAAGGCCAGCCTGAATGGCATAGAGATCCGCATGAGATCTTTTCTCAAAAAAAAAAAAAAAGAAGACAGGTATATGATAGGATCCAAAATTAAAATTTGTATTAACACATATAGATAAACAGGTGACCTTCCCAGCAGCAACCAGTTTCCAGTGTTCCAGTGGATTAAATCTTCATCATCATGGAATAATTTTGCCATGAAAAATACTTGAAATTCATTTTTGACAAATGTACTTTAAAACAGCTCCTCCTCCTTTTTGCTTGATTGGAAAAATATACAGAATTTGTTGAAAGTTTAAAGTTGCCAGAAAAATTATTCCTTTTTGTTTTTGGTGGCATTAGGAATTTAACCCAAGGACCTCTGCACTGAACTACAACCCTATCCTTTTTGTTTTGGCGGGGGTGGGGGGGGGTGGGATATCTTACTAAGTTACTAAGTTCCCCAGGTTGGGCTCAAATTTTTGTTGTTACCTCAGCCTCTCAGAGTGCTGGGATTACAGGGGTGAGTTACCACAGCTGGCTAAAAATCATTTGTAATTCTGATATTCAGGAAAAAACCTTTCAGATATTGCAAGAATTATTGCTAATTTTTTCGCTGTAAACATATATGTATAGATGTTCTAATACATGGAACAATTCTGTTTATAAATCTCCAAAGCAATTTTATTTTCACTTACTGTATCATAAATATCTTCCTTTGTTATTAAAAAGTCTTCCTAAACCACTTAAATATAATATATTCCACAGATGGACATGGCATATTTAATTAACAATATCTTCAGAGATCCATGTTAGGATATGTATAAGAAAAGAATTCTGTGATACTCAAAATTTTTTCAAAGTGAATTTTAAGCATAAATTCTTCACGATTCTTTACCTGATTATTACAATTACCAATAATGAGCGCATCAGCGAGAGACAACTGTCCCACAATCATCCCCTGCTCCAGCAATGGGGCTCCTGTCTCAGCAAGGCGATTGGATGTGATAACGATGGTATTATCATCATTTAACACCATTACAGGGTCGGCCTAAAGAGAAAAGCAAAAACTTGCTAGAAAAACAAAAATTACAATATAGAAAGATATACCTTGTCCTTGACATATCTGCACAATAAAAGCAGACGCCATGGCCAGTTTCTTATTCCTAATTATGACGGTCTTTTTTCTCAAAAACTGACCTCAATGAAAGCTGCTACTTCTTGAAGCACTAAGTTCCATTCCACTTGATCTTCAGTATTGAAACGATGTGTGTAATCCTCAATTTCATCTGACAATTCCTAATTTAAAATACCATAAAAAAGCTGTATTTTAAAACCATAAGAATATACAGCCAGTGTAACATTGTTTTTTTTTTTTGTACCAGGCATCGAACTCACACCTGCGTCCTTGCCAGCAGGCACTTAAGCCACTGAGCTAAATCCTCAGCCCCTAGTGTAACATTCTTGACAAAAACTGGTAAGAATTTTTTTTGGTACTGGGTATTGAACCCAGGATCTCTGCAGTGAGTCATATACTTAGTCCTTTTTAAATCTGAGCGGATCTCACAAAGTTGCCAAGGTGCCCAGGCTAAGCTAAAACTTTTGACCTTTCTTCCTCAGCCTCCCACAGTACTAGAATTTGATTATTATCAACACCTAGGTCTTATTAAAACAAAAACAAAGATCACGACCTAAATGAATTTATTTCAAAATAAAAGTCAAAATGACATGCATCAAGTAAGATTAGCAGTCAATTTATTAATAAAAATTCCCTTCCTACTCACCCTTATTTTCTTCCTGTTGTCTAATAAGGGGATAGTTACCCTATTTTCTTGTCATTTCTTTTATACTCCACATAATAGGGAGAACATGTGATATTTGTCTTTTGGTTCTGGCTTACATTGCCCAACATAAGGATTTTCAGATCCCTTCATTTTTGTTTAAAGAACATGATTTTGTTCTTTATGGCTAAGTAATTCTACACAGTATATGCCACATTTTCTCTATCCATTCATCTTTGGTGGGACCTGGGCTGGTTCCATGTCTTGGCTATGGTGAATTGTACCTGAATAAACACGGACCTGTAGGTATCCCTATAGTATGATGACTTTAATTACTTCAGGTAAATATCAAGAAAATGGTATAGCCCGATCAAATGGTAGCACTATTTTTGCTTTTAAGGAACCCCTATATTGATTTTCATAGTGGCCATATTAATAAATGGTCCCATCAACAGTGCAGAACTTTCTCCCTGCATGCATTGTATTATTGTGTATTATTGGTGATAACTATTCTGACTGCAGTGACATGGAATCTCAATGTGGTTTTGGTTTGCATTTCACCACAATTTTAACATTTAAATAAAATAAATACTTCCTGATTTCTTTGGATTTATATCATACTGTTCTAAGAACAGTCTTCTTGGTGAGTGGGAATAGACAAATACAACAAATGTATGTAAAAAGCTACCACCAATGACCTTCTGAAAACTAGTAGGTCCCACCTAGGCAGCAAATAAGAAGTATGTCATCAAAACCACTGGGTCCAAAATGCAACCAGAATTTAGAATGCAACACTCATATGCCAAGCAGATCCTTAAAACAATTACCTGTTAACTCCCTAAGTGAATGAAGGACAGTGATACAGATTCTCTGATGGAAAAATTAAACTTCATTCACAGTACTTTTGTAAAACATTTTGTACTTTCAATCATTTCAAACTAAACTAAGGATTCTAAGTTTTGTTTGCATTTCTCAGTCACCCACTAATGGGCTGAAACTGTAAACCATGCTGAAGGTACAAAGCAGGCAATTAAGACCTGCCTATAAGGAGTATGTGTAATTCACAACCTCACACTTGTGAGGCAGGTGCTTATGCCACTGAGCTAAGTGCCCAGCCCGGCAAATTTTTTCACCATTAGTCTTTTCATAGGTTATTATATTTTATATGTTATAAATACTTCGAGATATCAAGATCATATTAGGGCTTAGGGTGTAGCTCATGGTAGAACACATTTAGCATGCATGAGGCCCTGGATTTGATTTTCAGGACCACAAAAACAAACAAAACACACACATACACACACACAAAAAAAACAGACAAAAGTTTAACTTAAAAAAAAATGTATTAGATTGAACCCAGGGCCTTTTCACTGAGCTATACCCTAAGGCTTTTTTTTAAGACAGGCTCTTGAAAAATTGCCCCGCCTTGGGTGGAACTTGCTACCCTCTCATCTCAGCCTCCTAAAGCACTGGTAGTATAGGCCCCTATGCCATATTAAAAACTGGTTTATATTGTTGTTGTTACTGTTTTGGTTTTTTGAGACAGAGTCTCAGTACATAGCTCAGACTGGACTCCTTGAACTCACTACAGAACTCAGGCTTGCCTCGAGCTCACCATGATCCCTGATCCCCCTGCCTGAACCTACCGAGTTCTGGAATTAACAGGCATATACCACCATACCTGGCTAACATCTAGCTTTTTTTTTTTTTTTTTTTTTTTTTACTTGTACCGGGGATCGAACTCACGACCACCTGCTTGCCAGGCAGGTTCTTATGCCGCTGAGCTAAATCCCCAGCCTCTAAAATCTAGATTTTAAAAGACAAAATTATCACCAGGTATAGTGGCACATACTCACTGTTCAGTCTAGTAGGAGTCTGAAGCAGGAAGGTCACAAATTCCAGGCCAGCAGGGCAATTTAGCAGGACACTGTCTCAAGAAGTAAGAGCACAGTGATAGAGTGGCCTTAAATTCCATGCCCAGTACCACTAAAAACCCAAACCAAACCCAACCCTCAAAACTATCCACATACAGTTAGAGGTTAGAATTTTATGTTAAAGTATATTTACCTTTACCAGATCCTTCACAACATCCATTTTGTTGAGAAGAAGACAAACTACTATAAACCTTGCATAGTAGCGCAGCTTCTTAACTACTAGTTCAGGTCTATGATAGGAAAATTGAAAATTATTAGATTCATAGAGAATATATGAGTTTTTACTCTTCCCGTTGTCTGATGGATTTTTAAACTCTCTGGCACTTTTGACAGTTCTAAACATTTCCAAATATATATATGTAGTCCTTAAAACACATTTTATATTCAGCAATTAAGTCACTGTTTATACATTTATACATGATTCAACAAATACCTTTTAAGAACTTAATGTGCATTAGGCATGATGTCACGTGCTAAAAGTACAGTAATTAAAAAATATAAAGAAAATTTCTTTTTTACAAACCTTACAGATCAAGAAGTCTTAAAATATAGGAGTCGGATAAATACAATAAAAGGGCACAAGGAGAAAATGTAATGACTGGAGAAATAAAGATTGTTATTTAAGCTGGTTCTCAGCTAAAGTAAAAGTTAATGTTACAAAGAAGAGCGGAAATATACAGGAAGAAGAATATGAAGTAACAATAATTCCAGGAATAACACTCTTTTCCTTGAAATCCATCTTCCTGATACTAGTACAACAAAGGCAGCTTTGTCATGCCTAGTCTTTATATATCAGATGTTTTTCCATCCTTCTACTTTCAACTGCCTGTATCTTTTTATTTAATGCATCTTCTAAAATAATAATCTTTTTATCCAATTTGACACTCTCTGCCTTTTATTTGAGGTAATAAGACCATATAATGTAGTCACTGACTACTCCCTTTTCATTTTCAAAAAAACTGGTTTTTATTAGCGTATGTTTATAAATACATATTTTACATTCTTTGTAAAGAGTTCATACACATCTTAATACTTTTCATTTCATTCCCCTCTCCTCTCTGCTGCTCCTGCCCACCTCTTGACTCCTTTCTCATTAGAGAAAGGTCTGTCTTCCTGCTTTCTATTATTTATCTTTTATTTTATACTTTATTTGTAATTGGGTCTCTCATGTAAGGAAAACTTTGCTATATAATGTGCGTATGTCTGACTTATTTCACAATATTACAGTCTCAAGATGCAGCCATTTTCCTCTAGGTAAGTCAAGTTTATCCATCCTTATTTACAACAGAATAGTACTACAGTGAATGTAAGTATCACACTTTCTTTATCCATCCATTGATGGACACATGAGACTGCTTGCAAGATTTAGCTATTGAGAATTGTTCTGCTATAAACATGGGCATGTATGTATCAGTGTAATGTATCTTTAACTCTTTCAGGAAGATGACTGGATGGAGAATAGTTGGGTCAAATGGGATTTGTAGTTTCAGTTTTTAAAGCAAATATGTATACTGATTTTCATAGTGCTTTCACTAGTTTACATTCCCACCAACAACATAGAAGGGTTCCTTTTACCCCTCAAGTCATGCCAGCATTTGTTAATTTGATTTCGTGATTGACAATGATTCTTTCTGGGCTAAGATGGAATCTCAGTGATGTTTTAGTTTGCATTTCTCTATTGACCAGTGATATTGAATATTTCTTCACATATGTATTGTTCATTAGTACTTCTTATAGCATCTGAGGTGTTTTTTTTTTTTAATTCTAGATATTAGTACTTTAAGAAACAGCTGGACAAAAATACTTTTCCCGTTCTGTAGGTTGTCTTTTTCTCTTGTTTCTTTTGCTGTGCACAGCTTTTTAATTTGGTATGATTCCATTTGATTTTCATTACAATTTCCTGTGCAAACAAGGTTCTATTTAGAAAATCTTTGCCTATCCCTACAACTTTAAGAGTTTTACAAATTTATCTTTCAGCAGACTAAGTGCTTCTGTTTTTTTTTTTTTTTTTTTTTTTTTTTGGTCTTTTTCCTTTTTATCGGTACCGGGGATCGAACTCACGACTGCCTGCTTGCAAGGCAGGCGCTTATGCCGCTGAGCTAAATCCCCAGCCCCCTAAGTGCTTCTGTTTTAACATTTAGTTATGTATTTCATTTTTACTTTAATACATGGTCACAGACACTGGCCTAGGTTCAGTCTTCTGCAGGTGAATAGCTAATTTTCCCAGTGCTACTATTACAGAGGCTATCTTTCCTCCAGTGTGGGTTTTTGGCCCCTTTGTCAAAGTTCAAACAGTTCAATGTGCTTGGGGTTGTTTCTGCATGCTTTATTCTGTTCCACTAAACTTCAGGTCTGTTTTTGTGTCACTATACTATTTTTAATCACCGTAACTCTTAATGTAACTTAAAGTCCAGGATTATGATGCCTTCTGCTTTGCTCTTGTTGGTGAAGATTGCTTTTGCTATTGAGTCTCTTCTGGCTGTGAAGTTTAGGAGTGTTTTCTTCAGTTCTGTGAAGAACGCATTTGGTATTTTGACTGGCATGGTGTTAAATCTGTTAATCAATTTTGTAAGTATGGCCTTTTGACTATATTGGTTCTGCCAATTCAAGAAGGGGAACCTTTGCATTTTCATATGCTTCTTCAATTTCCTTTTTCAGAGTACTGTAATTTTTGTTGTACAGGTCTTTCATCTTATTAGTCAGGTTAAGTATTTAATTTTTCCTGGTGCTATTGTAAATGGCATTATCCCTCCCAATTTCTTTCTCAGTGAGCTCACTGTGAGTGCAGAGGAATGTTATTGATCTATCTGTGTTGATTTTATATTCTGCTAATTACTGAGTTTTGTTAATAATTGTAAAAGTCTTTTGGTGGGTCTTCTATGTGAGAGTCACATCAGCAGCAAATAAATGATAATTTGACTTCCCTTCGCTTTTCTTTCTTTTTCCTGTCTAGTTGCTCTTGCTCTTGTTTCAAGTATTATGTTGAATGAGTGGTGACTGTAGACATCTTTGTCTTTTCTTGACTTTAGAGGGAAATGTTTTGGTTTTTTCCAATTTAATATAATCTTGGTAGTTGGCTTGACATCAATGGCTTTTATCAAATTGAGATAAGATCCTTCTATATCTAATTTTTTCAGTGTTTTTATCATGAAAGAACATTAGATTTTGTCAAAGGTTTTTTGTGAGTCTATTGAGATGATCATGTGATTTCTGTCCTTCCTTGTTTGTGTGATGCATATTGATTTGCCTATGTTGAACCATCCTTTTATCCCTAGGATAAATCCTATTTGGTCATTATATAATGATCTTTTTGATGATTTGTTGTATTGTTTGCTAATACCTTATTGAAGATTTTTGCATCTATATTCATTGGAGACTGGTCAAGAGTTCTCTGTTTTGGTTAGATCCTTGTCTGGTTTTGGAATTAGGCTAATGCTAGCTTCTAGGAATATCTTTGAGGGTACTCCTTCTCTTTGAATTTCATTAGAGGTTGGAGAGTGTTGGTGTTAGATCTTCCCTAATTTTTGTAGACTTCAACAGAGAACCCATCTGGAGCTGGGGTTTTCTTAGTTCACAGGTTTTTTATTACTGTTATTACTGCTTCAATTTCATTGCCTCTTATTAGATTATTCCAGGTTTTTTAATCATCTTGATTCAGTTTTGGCGATCTTGCTTTTGCTTTCAATATACATCTTTTGTTCTGTGTTCCTCTCTGGTTCTTTCTTACCTTCTTTTTTGATTAATTCTGCTTTATATCCTCTACTGACTTCTTACTTTATACCACTTCTTTGTTATTGTACTTTTTAGTGGCTATTAAAAATAGCAATGGTTTAACTCACCTATGCTGTACCTTCACACTCTCCACTTATCCCTTATAAATTCAAACTTGACATTTCAACCTTCTACTTCCTACTTTGTACACTTCATATAGCAAATCCAATAAACTTACCAAAATGTATCTTTGACATTTTATATAATATTTTAAAAATAATCTTCAATTTATGAATTAGAAACATCAATGCTAATTGATAAGTTTTATTTTTTTCTTTTTTTGGTGCCAGGGATCGAACTCATGACCTTGCGCTTACCAGGAAGGCGCTTAAGCCACTGAGCTAAATCCCCAGCCCCAATAAGTTGATTTTCTTAAGCCATGTTTCATTCTTATGTTTAACAGAATCATAGTTAATTAACATATATTTAAAGATCAAGTTCACAGAAGTTTTATGTAAGCTTAAAAATAATATACACTGGCTTACTTTTGCATATAGTTTTATACACGTTAGATTTGTTTTTACCAGACCAGACCTCAATGTGTGTTCTAGGCTAGCCTGGAACAAACATTGATGCACCTGCCTCAGGCTCCCAAGTGCAACACTGTGGCTTTTCCGGTTCTGTTTGTTTTTCTAGGCACAAGGTGTTTTTTTTTTTTTTGTCTTTTTGAGACAGGGTCTTGTGATGCAGTTCAAGCTGGCCTTGAGCTCACTTTGTAACCCAGGCTGGTCTCAAAATCCCAACGATCGTCCTGCCTCAGCCTCCTGAGTGCTGGGAGTACAGGAGTAAGCCACCATACCGGGCTCGAAGTACAAACTTTTATGATACAATAGTATTTCACTTTATAAACTTAATTCTTTCTACATTTCTGGAACTGGATGAAAACCAAATCAAATTTTCCCATGTTAATACTGAAGCTAACTACTGAATTTGATTCAGTTCTTGTCCAATTTGGTTTTGACCAGAATTGCGGAAAGAATTAAGCTCATGAACTAAGGTACCACTGTATACCAAAATATTCCTTGTATATTTGACCATTTAACAATTTTTTTACTTTCTGCTTTATTGTGTCACTTTTTGTTTTATTAGCATTACATTATTGGGCATTTATAAAATCAGACATTTTATATTTCCCTGAGTTTCTTTTTATCATTATAGGGTAAACTATCCTTAATAAGATTTTCCACTTTAGCTGGATGTGGTACATGCCTAAAATCCTAGTACTCTAAGGCAGGAAAATCTCAAAGTTAGCTCAGCCTGGACAATTTAGCAAGACCCTGTATCAAAATGTTTTAGAAAACAAAAGCTGTGGATCAGTACTACAAAACACAACAAACAATAATAGCACAACAGTGCAATATTGGACTTCTCTAAAAAAAGAGATTCTGGTAATTTCTGTAAAAGTTTAGATCATTTCCACTTACTATAAGTATCACTATATTTGGACTTGTGTTTTATTATTTTGTGCTATTTCAGAATGTTGGGATATTTTTTCTTTTCTTGTATTCTACTGTAATGATCTTAATTGTGTTACTTTTCCCATTTTACTTGTTCTAAGGTCACACATTCTCCCTATACTTTACCAAAGTATTTCTCCTAAAATTTTAGTAAGTAAATTTTAGGGTTGTTTTTTTTTTGGTTTTTAAACCAGGGATCAAACTCATGATCTTGCACTTGCCAGTGAGGCACTTACACCAGTGAGCTAAATCCCCAGCACACTATCAAGTGAATTTTAGTAAGAAGAAGTTTCTTCTAAAAAATAATGGATCTCACTAGAACAGGCTATTTCTTATTCCTCTTCTTCTTTCATGTTGTTGTTATCCAGGATTTGGCCCCATTTAATAACCAAATTAATCATTATCACAATGACTATCTCATAAAATCTGTGTTTTAGAAATGAGTATAATTTTTGTCTTACCAATCCTTATTCTATATGCAATTTTGTTACCACCCCAATCCTTAACCTCAAAATCTTCATGGAACAGGTCACAAGGATTCCTGAATCAGTCATCTCTACTTACTTGACAGCTAAGTTAACCATTAAAGAGATAACTGCTCTATTGTATCCTGCATTACTATGTGTATTAGAACACAAAGTAGTTTAAGTTATTTAGTCTAAGACACTGTCAAAAGTAATATCAGTAGAATAATGCTGATTCATACTTGAAATATTAATGTCTCATTATTAAAAGTGAACTGTGATCTTCAAAATAGTCACTCAGTAAAAGACATCAACCAAAAACAATTTCTGAAACAGGGTTTTACTAAGTGGTCTGGGGTGCCCTCAAAGGCATGGAAATCCTTCTACATTGACCTCCTCAACGCTGGGATTACAGGTGTGCACCCCTATGCCCAGCTAGTTTTGCCTTTTAAATGAAGTGTGAAATACAACACTTTCTTACTTGGTTTTTATTGGCTACTGATTTTAGCAACTCTTTGTCACTGCCACCTCGACTGGTATTCTTGCCCCATGTAAACTAAGAAACAATCTATTTACCAACTGGAAAGAGCTAGTTTTGCATACTGTATTATTGTTTTATTCAATTTTACTGGCCTAGAGCAAAAGATATTGTCAACCTGACTCTAAATAATCCTACTTTGATTAACGCAAATTGCTCTAGGAGGCAGCAAAGGAAAACAATTCAGATGTGGTATTTGCTATTAGAGTAGAAAATGATTACAATGATTCAAATTGTTGGATTTTAAGCCAAAGGGCCCAGAGCCAATTCCCTTTAAGCAAAGTAGAAAATGCAGAAAAGGGAATTATACAAGCTATTTCACTTTTGCTTCAAACAGATCTTTGCTAACATATATTTTTAATCCTGATAAAATGTTACACTGCCTTCTTGTGATTTTTAGAGGTACAATTCATCTCACCAAGAATTAAGATAAACTGTAATATGAATGCAAAGGAAATTGGGGTTGGAGGAAATATATATGTAGTGAAAATATGTGAAGCAAACCATGTAAGAAAACCTGAAGAAAAGTAACTGATGAAACATTGATATGAGAAGTAATGGGGTGGCCTAACAAAAACACAGGAGTAAAATGGGGAATCCAGCATCTATATGTCACATCAATCAAGCAGACTCCCCTTGACAAGTCCAACCAAGATGTGTAAGAGAATAAAAGGGATTTTTCCCATATGGCTTTCCAAAAATTGTTACTGTTTAGGTGAAAAACATAAGTCAACCACAATGTTTAGAAAAATAGTAAAAAAAAATTCAAAACGATGGGCTTTTTTTGGAGGGGGGTCTTTTGGACAGGGTCTTTGTGCAGTTCAGGCTGGCCTTTAACTCACTTTGTAGCCCAGGCTGGTCTCAAACTCGCAACGATCCTCCTGCCTCAGCCTCCCGAGTGCTGGGCTTACAGCACTCGGGAGCCACCACGCCCAGCTATGATGGGCTTTTTTAATTGTCAAGAAAATATAATCTTTTCTCTAAATAAGAACTGTGAGTCCTGCTACTAGGAGTACGGAAAACACACAGACCTTCTGTGCTTGAACTTTCTCCTCCAATAATTCTTGGAATCCTAGTGACAAGGATAATCCAGCAGACCCTGATTTCTTCCATAATTCATCCTTATCTAAATATTGCAGCCCAGCCTATGCCCACCCAGAGCACACTCTCTTTTCTGAAACAGTATCCTTGTATTCTACAAGAACCATCTTTTCCCATTCCGAGTACATGTAGTTTGGGAAGGGTGACGTCACTTTCCTGACTCAGGGGATGAGCCTAGGACTTGCAAGTTAGAACTGGTGTTAGGATTTCTGCTAAACTGAGACAGAATATTATCTTCTGCTCATGATGTCACACTTCTGCAACATAAGTCTGCAGGTGGTGGCTGAGGAAGACTGCCCGGGAGTGAAACCAACCAGCTGCTGAAAGATGGAAAAAGAGATTCCTAAGGACACTGCTTCAGTATTTACATCCAAACACACTTAAAGGTTTATCCTTGTCTTTGGCATTAGGTATGTGACAATAAATCTTCTTAAATACATACATACATAGACACATACACACATACATACATAAAGCAGTCCATCTGTAACCCATACAATATCTGTAACTTGATTAGAAGATAATCTTCTGAAGGAACTAGCATACCTTCTTTTCTTTATTCTGCTCTCACTCAAACATCTGTCATAGTGCCAGATATTTAATACTATTAAACAGATTTCTAATGGGAAGAGATAAATTTTACAGGATTCTTTTCTTCTCCTTTGTTTTTAAATAGTAGAGCTAGACAACTGCAAAAAAAATAACAGGCTTTAAAAAAAACTCAAATAGCAAGGGCAGTTTTTTTTCTGGTCCTACACGAAAACAGGGCTTTTAAGACATATGATTAAGATTACACAGACTAAAAAGAACAGATTATTAGCATCAATGCACTTAAGTCATTTCATAGCAAAGAACAGATGTTTATTGTTTCTAAAGAAAGAACCCCAATCTCCTTTGTGCTGTAATTGTACCTCACATAATGATATGTGTTATACCATCTACAATATTATTATTACTTTCAGGTAACATAAATTTCTGCATGCTTTAGAAGGACTCTTACCTGGTAGGCACTGAATAAAGCTTATAAAATGATTGGAAGTTACAAATAAATGTGCTCATTTCTACACCCTTTCCACAATGCCTTTTATCCTCATCCTTACAGAACCAAAGCAAACACATACCTGTCCTCTTTATTGACTTGAGAATAATATGATCTCTGTCTGATGGCAGAATAGAAGGAGAAAGCTTCATTCAGATAGCTGGTCTCAGAAGTACGTAAGCTATGAGAAAAAATATTAAATATGACCCAAACCAGAACTTCAACATGATAAACACTTCTTTCATATGCTCCATCACCCTAAACAAGAGATAGAAATGACAGGCCTACATTTGAACCAGTAAGGCAAAAATCTTATCATCCTTCATGTATAATAGTAATAATAATAGTAATACCTTCCCAATCTCAAAGACAAAAAAAGGAGTAATAAATTCATGTAGTATTAATCACTTATCAAAACCAAAATCAATGGTCGAAGATGTAACTCAGTGGCAGAGCTCAACTCTAGCATGCATAGAGCCCTGGGATCAAGCACATTACTGCCAAAAAAGAAAACAAAACAAAAACCAAGAATGAACTCGCTTAAGTCAGACCCAATGAATTATGGAGGGTCATTGTTTGACATTGTCTTCATCAATCTAGTCTGAACCAGATTTCATGTATAACACATCGTTATCCTTCCTAGGAAGTAAATATACTATGCATGCTCCTGCATGTTGCATTATAATTGGGCAATTACTCTATTCTTTCACGTGCAATTCACTTACTAATAATGGTAGTATAGCTGCCCAATCTTGGAAGCAATTTCCCCTATTTGCCACCGCTTCAGGCCATACCGATTATCCAAAACTTGTCTGTTTTTAAAAAAAACAAAAAATTAGAAATAAGAAGCCATAAATATAAAAATCATCAAATATGCAAATCCAACAGGATAAAATTCCATCCAATTAGCAGTTCATAGATTTCCTAAGAAATTTCAATATACCCATTTAGTTAAATCAAAAGAAGCATTTATTAAATGTCTATTTAAAATAAGCTGAAACGTAAAAAGAAATTAATCTGAGCTATGATTATGAAAACTAGGAGCAACACCCCCTACTCCCCAAATAGCTTTCATGTAGTTGAAAGTGAAATCGTGGATTCTCCACCATGTTAGGTTCATCTGAACCATTCTGGATGCAACACTGTCTTTAAAAACTCAGATAAGGAAAAAAAAAAAAAAAAAAAAAAAAAAAAAAAAAAAACAACTCATAAGAACACTACATTATAAAATCTTAAGTAAGAAAGTTTGTTTTCATTTAGGTCACGAAGGTGAAATATATTACTTTTAAAGTATCAAAATAAAAAGCACTGAAGAAGTTAAAGGTCAAAACTGCAATTAATATAAAATGGAGTTGGTTATGGTGATATACACCTGTAATCTCAGGATTTGGGAGGCTGAGGCAGGAGGATTGTTGCAAATTTGAGACCAGCCTGGGCTACAAAATGAGCTCAAGGCCAGCCTAAACTGCATAGGAAGACCTTGTCTCAAAAATTAATTAAGTAAGTAAATATTTTTTATATTTATATTTACTTTTAAAAATGGACCTGCACTGTCTTTTAACTGTAAAATTCCTTTACCGATGCTGTTGCTGGAACTTCCAGAGTTTGGTGTAAACATCAAAAGTTCTTCCAAAGTAGGACTGCCACTGCTTCTGTCCATACTGTGGCAAATCTCTGTAATAACAAAAAAAAGTAATAACTTTCTCATGTTATTTGGGAACTAAGTCTTGTGATAGTACCTACTGGTAAGATTTAAAGTACTTTCATTTCTTTTTAAAAAGTTTTAACTGGGCGACTCTAGTCGTGAGGAACTCCACACAGCCCTGTGACCTTGGACCTAACCCTAACCCTAACCCTGCGCAACTGGCAACGGCCCTGAGGAATGCATGCTCCCCTTGGACCTTAGAAAATGGAAGGGTATTAGAAACTGGAAGGATATTTCTTGCTCTTGGGTAGGGAAGAATCAACCCTGTCAACACTGAAAATGGCCATACTCCCAAAACTGTTATACAGATTTAATGTAATCCCAATAAAACACCATGAATACACCTTACAGATCTAGAGAAAACACTCCTAAAATTCATTGGGAAACAGAGGAAACCTAGAATAACAAAGGCAATTCTGGGCAACAAGGGCAAGGCAGGAGGCATCTCAATTCCTAACTTGAAACTATACTACAAAGCCACAGTGATAAAATCAGCATGGTACTGGCAAAGAAACAGACCTGAGGATCAATGGAACAGATTAGACAATGCAAGCACGACTACAATGACACTCAGCCACCTGATATTTGACAAAGGGGCTAAACATGTTCACTGGAAGAAAGATAGCCTCTTTAATAAATGGTGTTGGAAAAATTGGCTCTTCACATGCCTCAGACTAAAATTGGATCCATGCCTATCACCATGCACAAAACTAAAGTCTAAATGGATCAAAGACCTAAATATTAAAACAGAAACACTAAATCTACTGGAAGACAAGGTAGGCAGAAGTCTTCAAAACATAGGGGTAGGCAGAGAATTCATGAACAAAATACAAACTGCATGGGAAACACTTCAAAGAATCAACAAGTGGGATCTCATATTATTGAGAAGTTTCTGTACTTCAAAAGAAATCACCAGCAGAGTGAAAAGAAAATCCACAGAATGAGAAAGAATTTTAGCCAGCAGCCTCTCAGACAAAGGACTTATATCAAGAACATATAAAGAATTGAAAAACATCAAGCCCCTCAAATTCAAAGACTCTCTCCAAAAATGGGCATCTGAGATGAACACACAGTTCTCAGATGAAGATATACAAATGGCAAATAAATACATGAAGACATGTTCACCATCACTGGTCGTTTGAAAAATGCAAATTCAAACAGCATTTAGACTTCAGCTCACTCCAGAATGAATGGCTGCCATCAAGAAAATAATTGGTAACAAATGTTGGTGAGGATGTGGGGAAAAAGGAACACTTCTCCACTGTTGGGGGGAATGTAGACTGGTAAAACCACTATGGAAATCAGTATGGAGAATTCTCAGAAGACTAGGATTGGAAGTTCCATTTAATCCAGCTATTCCTCTCCTGGGTATTTTCCCAGACAAACTGAAAAGGACACTGTGATATATGTGCACCATAGCAGCACAATTTGTAATAGCTAAATCTTAGAAACAACCAAGATGCCTATCAACCCCAGAGTGGATGAAAAAGATGTGGTATTTTTATACAATGGAATATTACTCAACTATAAAAAGGATGAGGCCTTCATAGGTAAATGGAGACAACCTGAGACTATCCTCATAAATGAAATAAATAAGAATCATATTTATAAATATCACATTGTGTCTCGAGTATAAAAAGTAGTAAGAAATGTAGGACTAATAAAACCCAAAATGTGTAGTTGTTATTGTAGAACAGAGAGGAAAAGAAAGTACTCTAAAGGATATAACTGCATGTATATTTCAGTGTGTAAGATAGATAACCATATTACTGAGTTTTGTTGGATCACTGAACAGAACTGTTTGCAGTCTCACTGTTTGAATGTCCACTTTGTATGCTTTACTTTTGTAACGTGAACAACCATTTCTGACACGACAATATGTATGTAATTTATCAACTAATGATTTCTTACTGTTTTTTTGAAATTATGTATTTTTCTACCCTTTTTCTGTTTTTTTTCTCTTTAAATAAAATTTGAAAAATAGTTTTAACTGTTGAAGCAAAAACAGCTTTGTAACAAGGGTGGAGGATGCTCCTTCCTTGTCTCCCACTATTTCTAACAGCTCCTCAGTGACCTTTGCAGATGCCTCTCCCTAGCACCTTCCCTTACCCTGGGTTATCTTTTGTTCTTTTTTATTTTGTTTTTGTCTTCTTGAGACAGGGTTTCACTATCATCTGGCCTTAATTCCAGTTTATGGCCTAGGCAGGCCTGGAATTTGCAGCAATCTTCCTGCCTCAGCTTCTCTCAGTGCTGGGACTGCAGGCATGCACCACCACACCACACCTGGCCTTCCTGGATGATCTTTTATACTCATACACTGACATTTCTCAACGTTTCTCTGCAGCTAAGACATCAGCAGTTTGAAAACAGTACCTTAGGGGATATACCTACAAGTCAGTATGCAAATGGTTTTACTGTTCTCAACTATGGTATTTTTTTGTCCTTGGATCTGGTGACCTACAGTCATGTCTGTGAGAGATGACTACTCCCTATGGGCCTATATTAACTAGCCTTGACCAGTGAAAAATTATTGTAAGAGATCTACATCCTGCTCTAGGAGATTAAGGAACATTACAAAGTTTGCCACTTTACTTTTCTCCCTGATGGAAAAACGAATACTTTTCAGCCTGGAATACCAAGAAGACACATTTAATGGACCCTGGACCTCAGACACCTCACAGCTAACGCAGAAGGTAGAAATAAATTGCAATTGTACTATGGCACTCACCTCTGGGGTTATTTAATATAGAAGCCTTACTTATGAAAAGCTAGTACAAAAACTGGTATAAGGAGTAGGCTGTTGCCATAATAAACATATTATATAACAAGTGATGCACTGGGACTCAGTAGCAAATAACTGTTACCAAAAGCCAAAAAACCATGATCAATATAAGGTAGTGGTAAAACTGCACTGCCTTACAATAATTCAAAGTCAGACAGTGTAATTAATGAACTTGAGAATTTACATTAAAAAGCTGAGAAAGTATCTTTCTATTAGCCATTAGATGCCATTAGTAGGCTGGGAATTCAACTCAGCGGCACAAGCACCTGCCTGGCAAGCACAAGGTCATGAGTTCTATCCCCAGAAACAAACAGACAAACAAAAAAAGACTGACAAATAGATGTCAGTAGCTGCACTTAACAAAATAAGAAAAAGATGAACTCAACAAAGTATTGGCTACAGCAGTTGGAAAGAAGAAAAAATATATCAATTCAACAACTTCCAAGATTCAAACAATGATTATAAATGATTGATTATGAAACATGCCACTGAAAAAATGCTAACTCTAAATGCCCGCTCAGACTTAGCTTCAGCCTCAGGGCAAAATTTCTTCAAGTGAAAATCTCAATAACTGAAGATGGCCCAAATACATACTTACAGTGGGACATAATATTTAGGTCAGGGAAAAGAAGTGAAGGATTTGAAGCTCAAGGTATTTTCATAAAGAGAGACATGTATTAAAAAATGGTGAGTATGGCTACTGGTACATGGAGCTAACATGACTCACATTTTATTATGTCAGTCACATTTTATTAGAGCTATGTTGCCAAAAATCATTTGAGAAAAGCAATAGTTATTCATTAGTTATAATGTGATATATTTATCACAGTCTGAGCTGTCATCTCATTTTTATTGAGTTTTATAAATAAGTCCTTATTATTTACTTATTTATTGCTTGCTTACAAAATCAGGGATGGAATCCAGGGATTCTGCACTAAACAATAGCCTAGGCCCCCACCTTTAATTTTAAAGGAGTTTCAAAATTGAAGTTGCCCATATGCTGAGCCTGAATTGTAACACCCCTGCTTCAGTCTCCTAGAATGCTGGGTCTACAGGTGTGTGGCACCACATCAAACTTAATCCTTTTTATCTTGCTGCTTCACCTCACCTACCTTAATGTTTGCTTTTATCTTATTGCTTCTATCTTTTTAAAGAAATTTATCCATAAAGTAGTATGGTTTACTAAAAGATTTAAAGTTTTCATTTTCAAATTTAACTCATATTTAAGAAAAATGAGATTCAGATGTGTATAATACATTTGGTCTGAATGATTTTATGATTTATAGATTTTTTAATGAATATGATAGAACTGGGATTGAAGTCATCAATTTTCCCTTACTCTTGTATCTCAGCTCTTCTTTTGGTTCTACTGGTCTAATTTTCTACTTCCTCATTAACATATTATTATGTAATTAGTAACATTATTGTAATATAGCTTGGTAATTAATATATGTTTCTTCTTTTTCATGAAGTATTCTTGGTTCCTCATATTACTCTCTGAATCTACATTTAAAAATCAATTTATCACAGTTCTGCAAAGAAGTCTAATGGCTTCTAATGGGAACTCAATAGACCTATGGATCAATTTGAAAAACTAACATTTTTCATAATTCTAAGTACCAATACTACCCTTTCCATTTATGATGAAAATATAACTACTAAATAAATCTTATAACCTTTTCATAATTTTCTTACCTTTTCATAAAGGTCTCATATTTCTTGGTTCACATACTGCCAAGGTAGGGCTGGGGATTTAGCTCAGCAGCTTAAGTGCCAGCCTGGCAAGCATGAGGTCCTGAGTTTGACCCCCGGTACCAAAAAAAAAAAAAAAAAGACACATATTGCCAAGGTCTTCCCTTCTTACTAAGACATCTGTGAAAGGTATCATAAACTTATATAACTTCAATTTAAATAATATCTCAATAAAGAGGGTCTTTAAAAACTAACGATAAAATCAATGCATTATGGAATGAGCGTAGAATTTTATCTCTTCTCTACTCTCTCTCTCTCTCTCCCCTGTAGAAAAGATATGAAGCAGGGGCTGGGGATTTAGCTCAGTGGCATAAGCGCCTGCCTTGCAAGCAGGCAGTCGTGAGTTTGATCCCTGGTACCCATAGATTAAAAAAAAAAAAAAAAAAAGAAAGAGAGATGAAGCATGCAAATGGGTCACTGTGAAGCCTTTAACAA